AAGGCAGACAGCAGAGCTTAGAAATCATAAAGGAAATCTAGGCTGAGTACTATCACACAAAATTTTCTTGAGAAGAACAATGTATTTATAGATGGAACTACCTGGAGCACACTCTACCACAGAATTTGCTGGCTGAGGCATGAAGGTTTAGTCTGTAGTGTCTCAGTATTATGGATATCTGCAAAAACGTAGGAGCTTTACAGATCTATTCAGCCTTGACACAGCTAGGGGTATGTCTGGTGCAGTATTTTGTAATACTATCAGGAACTGGTCTTTCCCCACTATAATATACTGTTTTGTTTGTTTCTTGGGTAAAGAACTTTATCTATTATAGCTTTAAAATTGCATGGGGGATTCCTGAAAGACACCTCAACAAGCTAGAAATAATATGTTCAAATGCCACAACTTAATTCAACAAGCAACAAAAATATAAACAAACAAAGAGAAGCAGGATTCATGTAGTTTTTGCAGCAAATGGTGCCTATAGCCACTGGGTCCTACTAACAGCTATCCTCCCTCTTAACTGCACACTTCCAAACAGCAAACTACAATTTTCAACACAGTCCATTAATTTTGAGTGCCTCCATTGAAACACCAAAAGGTGCCATTTTGTAGAGATGCTGAGTATTCACAGCCCTACTGACTTCAGCTAGGGTTGTGAGTGCTCACTGCCTACGAATATCAGGCCCAACATGTTGCAAGTTGTGCACCCAGAAAATGAGGTACATGAATGAGTGGCTATGGGTAACAATTTGGTTTTACTGACTTGCCCAGCATCATGTGGCAAGTCTGTGTAAAGCCAGGGTAGAACCCAGTTCTCCTTGGTTGCAGGTAAGTGTCCTATTCACACCACCATCTCTTTTTTCTTCTTCTTCTTATAGCCCCATGCCTCATGGACAATACAACACTACTTCATTAACAATCCATCCCATCCAACAACAGGATACCATCTATGTTACGCACCTCAAGTACATCTCCACCTCATGAAACATGCTGAATATTTTGGGATCTTTTAATCTTTTTCACAGCTCTTTGAGAGACAGTACACAGCACTAGAGAAAACTTGCAGGTATATATATACGTACAGTGTACAAATTGCATGTTCTTGCTCTCTCTCACACACACAATTATATATGTGCACACGCACATGTATGTGACCCTGTAACCCATACACTGTAAGCATATATGCACATGTAAGTTTATATATATAGTCTGCACCTCTATGCTATGGAGAGTTTTATAACATTACATACGTACCTCTGCCCATACTCAATCATCTCCTCCTTGGTATGATTAATTAACAGGAATGGAGCTGCACCATCATGGTAATCTGATAAAGTAATTACTGTAGAATGTTCGGTCAGGTTAACATCCACTATAATGCCACCAAGCTATCAGATATGAAATAAGAGTAAGTATCTGTGTTGTGATAAACCTTACGTATAAAATACCATTTCCTTTTTACGATATAAAAAAGTTTATCCCCATAAGCTAAACCACAAACATCTGTTTTAATCTACTTTTATTATATTTTCCGATCATTTATGGGAAGTCAGGAAAGAGAGGCTGCATTTAGTGTTTCAAGACTACACAGGCATTCTACACCCTCAAATAATTAAATTATTTGCTGGTAGAGCAATCCTTTCCTGGATCATTGAAACTCTAGGGCATGTTTGACGAGTTTGTACATTCTGACCTCAACAATATGCTTTTGTTAAGGCCATGCCTAACCTTCTCCCCCACAAAGCTGGAGAACACAACCCTATAGCAATCTGTTTAGGCAGAAATGAGATTGACTCTACCAGACAAACTAACCAGTGGTAAACAAACATATATCCTTAAGCCTGTGAACACAGCTCTTGTGATGCTTAATTTCATTTGACTCTGTTGTGCAACCTCAAGATAATAAAACATGCACTGTAGGAAGTTCAAAATATATAAAGTTTAAAAAGCCACCATAACATCAGTAATGTCCCCCCACATACAAAATGAAAAAGCAATGAATAGATCTACAAATAAGGCAACTGACTACAACTGCTGTTATAAACTGGCTACTTCTAACATTTTATATATTTTCAATTAACATAAGCCAGTGCTAAACTGAAATGTAGCCTGTCCCCAAAAGATCACTTTTAATATCGGAAATTAATTTAGAAGCATATGGCCTTTATTTTCCACTTATCTCTAACTGTATTCATGTTTCCTAAAGCCACTGTACTGAGTTTAAAATTTTTAGCTGTATGTGAAAAAAGTTCTTCAAATAAATATTCAGTAATAAGAATCAAACCCACTCTTAATCATTAACTGTAGTACAGGTAGCAGTCCTGCAGCACACCCTGAGTTCTATAACTTTTCTATTCAGATACAGTAAACAAAGTGGTAAAAGTTATAGTTAATTTTACAGGATCCTAACAATGTACTGTACACTGTGGTCTAGCTCCTCAGCTCAGATATACGAGCATAGCTCCACTGACTTAAACGGCACTCCTTGCCTTTTACATCAGCTGAGTATCTAGCTTACAATCCTTCTTCCTCCACCTTCACCTGACATCAAGATAACAAAGTCACTCACACCTGGGCCAAAAGTGAACTCGTAAATTGCAAAAATGCAGACATATAAAATTTAGAGTCTTACCTACCTGCTTTCAGTTAGCAAGTGAAAACTTTAACATGAGAGATAATTAAAGGAATAAACTCTAACAGCAAATACAATAGGCCTGATTCTGATTTCATTTAAATAGGATTTAATTTCTAAATCACGAGTAATTCCACTGAAGTCAATACAGTTCTACCAGTGTAAAACTAATGCAAATGAGATAGGCATGAAGCCCCGTCAATATTCAAAATAGCCAACGTTTCAATTTTGACAGGTTCTTTTTTTATATGAAGGTTTTATATATATATTTGGAATACCCCATTGTTTTTGGAAGGGGAGAAGAGTTTCGTATGGGAGGAGGTAGAGTACAGATTTATGTTGTCTTCTATAATTCCATAAAAAAATCACTTACCTTATTGTCCAAATACAGCAATGTACAGTTTTCTTGCTTATTAAAACAGATCATCTTGGGGGGAATGTTGGAATTTTCAACTCTAATCAGCAGTTTATTTGAATCGTTTTCAGGCCAAAAGGGAATGCACTAGAATAAAATAATCAATTTTATATTCAAATAATACAAATCATAATGGAAAACTACTATGCAGCCCTCATATGGCACGTTTCTTATTTCTGTAATTTATATTACAGCATCAAGGAGCCCCAGTCAAGGACCAAGACCCCATTGTGCTAAATGCTGTACAAGCACAGGTCAAAAGGCAGTCCCTGCCCCAAGGAGTTTACAATGCAAGTACCAGACAAGAGAGAGCTGATGGATACAGACAGACCAATGGGGGAATACAAGGAAACAATGAGACAATATCGGTCGACGTGATAGGCTGTAGTCTCAGCCCCCTACAGTGCTCGGCTGCAATAAAAAAAACTGATTTTTCAAAACACTTTCATCTTAACTGCTGTAAAATGAATATGGAGCTCTGTTAGGATTTTCTAAATGTTACCTTATCTAAAAAGGATAAACTGAGAGGAACCCAGAACATTTATGCTAGAGCAAGGGAGTGGAAATTAGGAGGGGTCAGGAGCTAATGGTAAAAAAGGAAAGGAGGCCAATGCATATAGCATTTCAAAAGAGAACAGCACCTGTAATGGAAAACAGAATTAAAATTTAGAGTACTTTAAGAAAGCTCTGGCTTTTAACCATCAATTTCCTGTTTCGTCCATTTAACATGTATGGGGTCAGGTATTTCTTTCTCCTTGTTGCTGAGGAAGTCCCAGCTATATATTCTTGAAAGCTGGTGCATAGGTGTGACATCTAAATTCTGATGGACTGGTTATGCCTTATCAGTATGCAAAAGACATATTCTAATTTAAGAACTTCGGTATCTCTTTTACCAAAAATTATGAATTAATTATCAGCTTCAACAGTGACATTCAATGACAAAAATCTCACTTTAGTATAGCGGTAAAACCTATTATATGTTCAAATCTCTAAATAAGCAAATTAAGTCAGGTATCAGTATGTTAGTGAATTTTTATACTTACCTTTCCTGTTGAAGGACTGTGTAATTATATCCAACCCTGCACATTGTTCTTTATTAGCAATGTCTCGCCCACTGTCTTTTTTAATATTTTCCAATTTTATACAGCGTATAATAAGGCCACTTAAAATTAGACTTGCTTTTTCCTTAAGTATGTACAGCATGTTTTGTTACCAGTGTAATTAATTCCTTTCTTTCACTGTTTGTCAAATAGTCAACTGAAATTTTTTTGGTCATTTGTTGAAGTTGCAATTCATTATAATTATTAATATTTCAGTAATACATAAAGGTCCCAGTCAAGATCACAGCCCCATTGTACTAGATACTACAATCACATAAGAGAGACAAAGAGCTTATTTTCAAATAGAAAATACAGGCAAAGAGGGAGAGGGGAAAGAGAGGCACTGAAAGGTATAATGACTTGACCGGGATCTTACAGAAGGTCACTGACAAAGCTGGGAATAGTAGTGAGGTCTCGAGTCCCGTGCACATTTAGACTTTTAAAAAGCATACCTTTAAATTTTACGGTGAGTTTAGTTCTTATGGAAGGGATTGTTTGGACAGATATTAAACAAGCTTGCCCAGAAAATGCTTCCTCTTTGAATACATACCTGCAACATCTGATATCTCAGTAATGTGCCTCTCAAAAGGAAAATACTATGAACTGTAGTACTAGGATGAGACCCTACAACAATCTGACATTTTGTGTGACCCTACAACAATCTGAACTCAAATTTCCAACGGTCAAGGGCTAGTTCACTAACTTACCATGCCATCAAGTTCCTTCTCCCATTGATTCTCAGACCCCAGGAAGCAGGAAGACAAGAAAAAAATTAGTTAAATAGCAAGACTGACTTGGTTATTCAAGTCAAAAAGGTATGCTACAGACAATGGAAATTCATACTCATGAAGCAAACAAAAAGAAAAACTACGAAAGGTAAAATGTAAAGATGGAAAGGTAAACTATAAAATGGAAATTAGGAAAGCTAAGAGGAAATCTGAAGATTAAATAGCCCAAAACAAAGAAGTTGATAGACAGTTGTTTCACATATCAGAAAAAGGAAAATTGCAAAATGGAGTAATGGTGGCAATTAAGGATAAGGAAGACTTGGAGAAAAACTAGGCAATTTTTTTTTTGCGCTTGTCTTAGCCACAGAGCATGCTGAGGTCAAGCTTATGCCAAAACTCCTCTTTACATGATAATAAATGTGACAGTGTGGGATATGACTGTGTCAAACTGCAAACTTCATTTTATACAAGGAACTCCATTTTCTTCTATGTTCTGAAGGCATGTCTAACCTTGCTATTGTGATGTACTGAATCTATCCATCCCATCATAGAGTAATGTGGAGCCATCAACTTGGATTGTATTTCAACTGCTGGCCTAATCCCAGCAGCACACTGGATTTTCTACCCAGGGGCACCAGCATGTCTAGGGAATCTGCAGCTTCTCAGCCTGAGCACACAGTGAAAGGGAGAGAGACTATTTAAGAGGGGGTAACTTCTGTGAGACGGGAGGTCATTCATCACCACATTTAAGAAGAACTGGCTGGAGACAGAGAAGGCAGGACAAACTCTGCCCACCCTGAAATGCTGACAGAACCTGAGAATCAATGAAGGGGTGAGTTCTGACTGTGGTGGAGAGGGAGAGTGTCTCAGGACTTTTATTTTACAAGTATCTCTAACTCCAGTGCTTTATAACAATAAAGCGACTGGTTAAGAAATTCCTTTGTTAAACCTATGTTCCTTGCTTGCCTGCCATGTTGTCTCTAAATTAGAAGACAGAGTGCCCACAACTAGGTGGGAAATACTTTGGAAGCATGTGTAAGCAACTGGGGGCTCAGGAAGTCAGAGGCACTGGTTTAATGAACTTGAGCAACTGGACTGCAGAGTCCCATATCCCAAAGAAGGGTTCAGACAAGAAGTCTGTGCCTGTGAACACACCCTAGAAACCCAGAGCTAGAAGCATGTGGAGTCCAGAGATTGGGTCCACTTACAGACTGGTGACCATCTAGAGGGGGACTGGGCCAGGCTGTGACAAAGAAAATGAGGCACTGTCAGAGCAAAGGTGTCAAAAGAGGAAGAGCTGGCAAAAATGGGTAAGTTCGAGAGCAACAAGTGAGCTCAGGACTAGGTAGTAAATACCCAAGACATTTGGAGGAACTTGAGAATGAAGTGGCTGCGCTGCTACCAATTTTGACATTTTTTCATGAAAATTGAAGCTTACTTACCTGTAACTAGGGTTCTTCAACATGGACTCTGCATACTCCCACTCTTGGGATACTTCCACCAGTGCAACTTGAACAGAACCTTAACTACTATTGCACATTTGGAACACTCACATGACGCTCCTCTCAGTATTTGTGAATATTTGGAGGACGAGGGCACAAAAGGGGGCACTATGTTCCGGCTGCCTCAGTTCCTTCCCCTGTGACCCCAGGTCCTTTGTTAAGTATGACCCCAAGGAAGAGGGAAAGGATGGAGAGGAATATGCATATGTCGTCCAGCTTGGAGAACTCTGGCAACAGGTGAGTAACTTTCTTTTCCTTTCTGTGTGCCCTCTGCATATTCCTACCTGGGATAGATTGCTTAGCAGTATACTAATCCTTGTAAGGTGCACCACGGAGTCACAATTGAATAAGGACTTGAAAAGTGCTTCACCAAACTCTGCATCTCAGCTAGACACCAAGTCTAGAACATAGTTTGTAGTAAAAGTATGAATGAGGCTCCACATAGCTATCCTGCAACTTCCTACAAGTTTTTAGTAAAAGTCATATGGGCTACTTTCACTTTAGCAGAATGTGCTAAAACCCCTTTGTGGAGCAGAACAGATGCTGACATACACTTCTTGTATACAATGTTTAACCCATTTAGATAAAATTTGAGTAGTGATAGTTTGACCCATCTGTGTAAGAGATGAACAGGTTGGGAATTGGTTTAAAATGTTTATTTCTGTCCAAATAGTATACTAAAGCTCTTTTAACATCCAGAGTGTGTAGTCTAGGCTTCTTTTCATGACTAAGAAGTTTAGAAAAAAAATCAGTAAATTACTTGCTTGATTTCTATGAACCTCAGAAATCACCTTAAGTAAAAACCTAGAGTGGGGACATAGCAGTAGTTGTCCTAATGAAAGACAGGAAATGGTGGCCCAGCCATCAATTCTTGAAGTTCACTTTTTCTCCTTGTTGAAGTAATAACTATTATAGAAGCTATTTTAATGGATAAATGGCAAAAAATATATTCCCCCATAGGTTCAAAAGGGTGTTGCATGAGATGACCAAGTACTATATTTAGATCTCAAGATGAGACAGCATCTCAAACTGGTAGATATAAATTAAGTCCTTTTAGAAATCTTTTAACCAGATAATGAACATACACAGATTTATTATCCATAGGAACAAGATGTATTGAAACTGCGAAGAGATGGACCCCAACAAAAGACAGCAAGAGACTAGACATTTGAAGATGTAGCAAATACTCTAAAATATACCGAACAGGTGCTGTATAAGGATCTATATTAGCAAATCTGTGTTATATCCAATAGCAACTACTTTCTTGATGATGCTGTGACTAGCCAATTGTCTAGATAAGGAGAGACGAAAATCCCTTGCTTTCTCAGATATGTAGCCACTATGGAAGGACACTGTTTGAAAACACTTGGTACAGCAGAAAGACAAAAGGGAAGGAACTTGTAGTGGAAGTGGTCCTTTCTTAAATAAAATGCAGGCATTTCTGATGGATGGGCTATTGAAGTATGAAAATACATATCCTTTAGATTAAGAGCAGTAAACCAGTTCTGTATAGAAAGGAAGGAAATTATGAAATTACAAACACGCAGAACCAAAATCTTCAATAAAATACATTCAGCGTCCTGATATATAAAATGGGACAAAGACTTCCCCACCCTGTTTTAAAATAAGGAAGTATCTCGAATAAAAACCCTTTCCTCTGTACTTACATGCAGCACCTCCTCTATAGCTCCTGCTTTTTAGAAGGAAGAGAACCTCGACTCTCAGCAGGCTCTCATGTGACAGGGTTTTGAATTTGATAAAGTATCTGCTGAAAATAATTTCTAGATTTCTCCTGTCTGATGTTATAGACTGCCATTGGCGGTAGAATTGGGACGGGTAGTCTCCAAATGAGGTAGGGCAGGTACTGGATACGATTGATGTGCAGGTCCTCTGTCCTCATGTAAAAAAAGACTGAGGTTGAGTTCCAGAAGATGGTGTTACCGATAGTATCCCTTTACTGCAGGGCTTAAAAGGTTTCTCTTTCTATTTCTGTATCCCCTAGATCCTTTACTGCAGTACCCTATCTAAGCAGTAACTCCACATGTATTTGTGCATTTGATTTTTCCTTCCTAAGTGTAGTACTTTGCACTCATTTTTACTGAATTTCATCTGGTTGATTTCAGACCAATTTGCCAATTTGTCAAGGTTACTTTGAATTCTAATTCTGTGCTCCAAAGTCCTTACTGCCCCTCCCAGCTTGGTGTCATCCACAGATGTTATAAGCATACTCTCCACTCCATCATCCAAGTCATTAATGAAAATAATGAACAGCACTGGACTCACTGGTTTTCCAGATACCAAAGTGAGGCTTTCTAGATCTCAGGATCATCCCTAAGATCATTTTTTTAAAAAGGTACATTTGTTGCCCTTCCGTTCTCCAGTATAGTAACAGATTTTTCACTGAATGTCCTCTGTATGTTCCGACTCCTGAGACACTCTGACTGGTGCAGGCTGGACAACAGCAGTGCCCATTGGAGTTTTCATGCACTTCTCCTGCCCCTCCTTTCACTGTTTGCATTTGCATCATTCAGATTTGCATCTAGACATGGAACCAGATTAGATCCTTTATCAGAAGGAAAGATACTCTTCTACACAAGGATTTGGGACAGGATCTGTATCGCCCATGATTTTACCCGTTTGATCTAAATATAGGCTTTTGTCTTGATTGGCAAACTCCATCCTGGGATCGCTACATGGATCCAGGAAGGATTTCAGTCTTTGGATCTGAAGAGCATGGATCCAATTGTACAATAGAGAGAGAGACAGGTTTCCTATGATTTTGCAGGATGCTTTATCAGACGAGGAAAAGCAAATAGAACAGCTGCAGGAGTGCTGAACCTGGATTCTGGAGACATAACATCTCCAGAAGAAAGTGTTCAGAATGTCATAAGCTTCATCATCTTCAGAAGATGCTGTATTATACTATGAATTAGACAGAATGGCTAGAATGACAAAAACATTTAATATTTTTCAGTGTCCATAGAGAAAGATGGTACACGCTATATTTGATATATTAGTGGTGTCTGCAAGACAGAGGATTACACTTTCTTTATTAGATGGACTTTGTCAAGCAACAAATTGTATATGAGACAGCAATGTGATGCAGTAGTGAAAAAAGCTAATATTCCTGGATGTATTAACAGGAGTGCTGTATGTAAGACATGGGACATAATTATCCGACACTACTCAGCATCAGTGAGGCTTCAGTTGGAGTACTGTGCCCAGTTTTGGATGCCACACTTTAAGAAAGATGTGGACCAACTGGGGAAAGTCCAAAGGAGAGCAAAAAAAATGATAAAAGGTTTAGATAACTTGAGTTATGAGGAAAGGTTAAAAAAACTGGGTATGTTTAGTTTTGAGAAAAGATGACAGGGAGGACCGGATAATAGATCTTCAAATATGTTAAGAGCTGTTATATAGAGGAAGGTGATCAATTGTTGTCCACGTCCACTGAATAATCAGCTTAACTTACAGCAAGGAAGAGATAGGTTAGATGCTAGGAAAAACTTTCGAACTGTAGGGATAGTTAAGCAACGGAATAGGTTACCAAGCGAAACTGTGGAATCCCCATCACTGGAAGTTTTTAAAAACAGGATGGACAAACACTTGTCAAGGGAGGATCTAGGTATACTTGGTCCTGCCTCAGGACTGACTAGATGACGACTCAAGGTCCATTCCAGCCCTGTGTTTCTCTGATACTTGATAAAAATACAATTATAAAACACCCTGGTGAGCACAATATGATCTGGCCAAGCCAGTAATAGCATCAAGTAAAGGAAAAATGTACTTCTGTAATCTTTTAGAATTTTGTGGCATGTCAACGAACAGCCTATGAATGAGAGCCACTTTATCTGGACTTTGAAAGAGCCTTTGACATGGTCCCTCAAACTGGAAACAGGTAGACATTGGGCAAGAATACGTAAGTATAATCAGGCATCAGAAAATGGCTAAGAGAAAACACGGAGTCGGACTAAATGGTCAATTTTCAATATGGCAAAAAGATTAACAGTGGCATGCTCAAAGGTTCCCCAGGATTGGTGTCATTAAATATATTTATTAATGTTCTATTACAAGGGATAATCAATGAGGTGGCAAAATTTTCAGATGTACAAAATCATTTAGCTTAATCAAAACTAGAAACTTTGAGGAACTTCAGAATGACTTGAGAAAGTTGGGTGAATGGCTAGAACAATGGCAGATGAAAGTAACTAACTACTCAGGAAAGAAATGTAGCTCAACAAAAATCTCTTCTCAATGTTCAGCAGTAGCAGTAAAAAAAGCAAACAAAACATTATCATTCACAAGGAATGGGATGTAAAATGAACATAAAGTATTACAGTGCCATTAAATAAATCAATGGTATGCCTTTATACTTGGCACACTGTGTTCAGTTCTAGTTTCTCTTTCTCAAAAAGAAACAGACATAGTGAAAATGACAAAAGTCTTGAAACTTTTGTATTGGTGACTGTTTTCACAGAGGAAGCCTCTGAATGTGCTCCCCTTGTCAATTAAAAACATTCTTTTAAAATATTTAACACTATTATAAGTGCTGGAGGTGAAGCCGGGTTTGGGAGAGGAGGCTGACAGCTCGCAACCCCCCCCCCCGTGCAATAACTGCACGACCCCCCCGAGGGGTCACGACCCCCAGTTTGAGAACCCCTTATTTGAAAAGACTGGGTTTGTTGAGTTTAGGGAGATGAGAATAAGAGAGGATATGTTACACATGTATACAAAATAATAATATACCGAATAATGAATTCTGAAGAAACACAAAAAGGTAAATAAACCTATTTATTCTCTCATGACAACAACAAGGGGACATTCAATGAAACGAAAGGCAGCAAATTTAAAACTAATAGAAAATATCTTTCACACAATCATAGAATCACAGAACCTGAGAGGTCATCTAGACCAGTCCCCTGCACTCATGGCAGGACTAAGTATTGTCTACACAATCCCTCAGAAGTGTTTGTCTAACCTGCTGTTAAAAATCTCCAATAATGGAGATTCCACAACCTCCCTAGGCAATTTATTCCAGTGCTTAACCACCCTGACAGTTAGGAAGTTTTTCTTAATGTCCAACCCTAAACCTCCTTTGCTGCAATTTAAGCCCATTGCTTCTTGTACTATCCTCGGAGGTTAAGAAAAACTGTTTTTCCTTCATCCTCCTCGTAACAACCTTTTACATACTTGAAAAAATTGTTACGTCGCCTCTCAGTCTTCTCTTTTCCACACTGACAAACCCAACAAACCCAATTTTTTCCATGTATAATTACCCTATGTAACTTACTGTCACTAGATGTCACTGATGGAAGAGCTTAGTATTCATAAAAGGACATTTGTACGGATAATGAGGAAAAATTAACTGTTACATTAGACAGAAGTTTTAAAAAACTCAGAATGGAAATACACCATCATACTTCAAGGCAAAAGCCAATCTTTAATTGATGGATGTCAGGTATTTTTTTTCCTTTTGAGCAACTTCCTTTGAGGCATCTGGTTCTGGCCACTGCCAGGAAAAGGTTACTTAAAAAGATGGACCTCCAGCTTGATCCAGTGTGGCATTTCCTATGTTGTGTATGAGGAATGGTGATTTAACAATTTTATATTCAATTGTATTTTTTCTTCCATAATCATTAAGTATAAACTCTACATTTAACAATAGTAACTACTAAAAGTAGAACAGTAAGATATGGTTTCTATTCATTTATAGCCAGTTTCTGATACTCTTATTTAAGTAAAACCTTACTCTGCAAGCAATTCTTTGAAATTAGTAGGACTACTCACAGAGGCTACATTATCACTATATGATCTGCCATGTGCTAGGGGCAATACATTATTATGTTGGTCCTAGAGCAATCCATAAGAAAACGTGACTCCAGGTCTTCTGCTGCTTTGCAAAGGGAGTAAACTGCACAGTGCCCAACATGTCAGCACAACTATACCACCACATACTATGGGAGGAACAGAAAAAAGGCTGCACCCACTCCCCACCCACCTCTGTAGGGGACAGGGGGAGAATGTAGTGATTCTGTGGAGCCTGCTTCTCCTCAAGTGCTGCTACCTGTGAGGCAAGTAGGAAGTGCCTTAAGCCTCCTACCAATCTTGCACTGCCATGCAAGGTAGGCTACAATTTAGTTTACAGTAAGGTACTATTCAGTGGAAGTAAGGGTACCAGAATCAGGCCCTCCGATTTCTGGTAACCAAACAGTATCGCATATGAAATATTAAGACAATCTTTGTGTGAGAAATGAAAAGTCAAAATTTCCTGAGACGCTCAAGAAATTATGTACAATTCAAATGCTATGGGTTTGAGTTTTAAAAATCTACCTGATGAAAAGTGATAGGAATCCATTTCTCCTTGCCTTCTTCAGCTACCTCTAAAGTATATTTGCTTCTGTTTGTGATCATAAAAAAGGGGGTGAAAGTGACGATTCTTGTAATATTAAAACTGCTGTTATCTATGGTAACACCAACCTGTGAATGAAGGAAATTGTTGAAAATTTGTTAGTCTCACTTAATTTTTTATATTTTTTAACATATAGAAGTTTGATAGACACATATTGTACTCACTTGGTACTCCTTTTTGTGACTCTTACATTTAACAGAACCATGACTACCAACAGTATCAAGAGAAAACTGATCAGACAGTTCACTGTCAGTCACCATAAGCTGCACCTATAAAAAGTAAATTCATTTTTGTTAGAGTATGAAAACTAATGGAAAACATTTAAAATAGCCAAATCGACAAACAACCGTCTTCTGATCCTCTCTGTTATCCTTGCCTTCTTTCTACCATCATTTCTTTTAAACACACACACTCATTCTTGTGCTATCTATTGTATTAATAATATGGTTGTCTCAACAAGGTGATTTAAAGGTGATTAAAATTCTTATTTAACTATTACAACATTAACCAGTAAATTGCAGCTTTATGTGAACTTATCACCAGCTTACTCCCACTGTAACAACCACTACTAAAAATACGCTAACCTTTTAAGCAACATCATTATGCCACTTTACTTTAAGCATTTGCTAAAGCTTTGCCCTGAGTAGGGATATGCCCTGATTTGGGGTCTGAAAGGTTAAGTAAAACTCATTTTAACGATTTCCCATATTCCCGTTTCCTCTGACTATATATGTTAAAACTGTTTGATAGTTCTTAGTATTAAACGTGATGTTAACTGTCTTTTTATTTTGGCGAAAAAGAAAAAGTCAGTTTAAATGGTCTTGAGTAGTAGTTTAGACCCATCTTATTTCTTTAAAAAACTCTAAAAGCACAAAGGGAGAAAGAAAAAAAAATAGTAAAACCAGAAAATGTCTTCTATCTCCCATACTTCCTCACTTTCAACCTAGTTCCTGGGAAATTACATTCATACACCATTATCTTAACAGGCATTCCAAGACACAAACTTCTACTAGGATCAGACTGCTTGCTTTTTGGTCACAGGCTCATACCAGTGTTGTAAAAGGCAGATTTGTCTTGGGTGACTAAGTCAGATAGAAGGAGAAAGAGGAAGACAAAAAAAGGAGAAATAAGGAGAGACAAAGGCAAAAACTACAGATTAACATCAAAGGTTTTGCTGAGCATTTAGTTGAGGCAGATGGAAGTGGTAATGCCATGTGGTTCTCTCTTTCTCTCTGGCCTGTTCTAATCATGGCCTAATCATTTTAATGGCGTGTTCCATGCTTAAGCAAGTTGCTAAGTAATCCCTCCAAAAAAAACCCAAAACCCAACATCCAAAAAAATGGTGTCAATCTCATCCCATTATCACCATGCAATAAAAACACATTTCCTTCCATTTCTAGAATCCATTAATTCCTTGTTACACCCATCTTTGACCTCACTAGTAGCCTTAGAAGCCTAAACACAGTTTTTCAGTTTGCACATATTTAGTTTGTACCAGTGTCTTGCTTTCCAACTTTTGTTTCTTTTTCAACCAAGTTGATACAGGCTGAGCTGTTTTTTTTATCATCTTTCACCCACTCTGGACCATTTAGAATCTAGACCTTTACACAGCATGTCTTATCTTCAGTTAGACCTGGATCTCCAAGGAGATCTGCGTGGGGAAATGATTGTGCTCATAGAGATCAGCTTGTTGGATGAGGGCCTTAAGACTAAAAGTTGTTTGGGGCAGAGACCATGCCTTTCTATATGTTTGCATATACAGCACTGAGCACAATGGGACTCCTTATTTCTGATTCGGGCATCTGGGCACTCCCATTATTAAAGTAATAAATACCATTTACCAATGGTTGCTTTCTTAATTTAATATCCAAGAGACACAGTTAGGGACAAATCATAAAAGTACTGATCTCCTTCAGTTTTCATTGTCAGTGGAAATTGCAAGTGCTCAAAGTGAGATCTGGCTCCTATGTCCTATTGCAAGAATACAGAAATACCTGCAGTATCACCTGTACCATGATGGCAATTGTTGGTGAACGTGCCCTTTTTTTTTTTTTAAATGGTGACCATTGTCATACATCACACCTTAAAGGATTTTTCAGTTCTTATTTTACTGCTTCACTTACAAGCCAAAAATAGGTAAATTTCTCACCTCTTTAAGAAATCTCATAAAATGCTGTATTAAAAAAACCTTGGTGCACAAATTTACTAATTTCATGCTATCTAGTAAATACAATAAACTTTACTGATACATTTACAGCTGCCAGTTTTCAAAGTTCTGAAAAACTTTCAATTGGTAAAGGAAGGATGACAGCTAATTTTACTTAGCTGTTAGTTTATTAATAATATTCACTTACAGTACCTTGTTATTTTGGAAGAAATTTTTTGGCTGGAAAGAAAAAAGAAGTGGCTTTTTGTAATCAGGAGGATGCTTGCGGTGAATGCCATCAGCTTTGTATTGCAACATTCGGCCAGTTTTGTTTACCATCCAATACGGACTGTGAATTGCTATGATCATTTGTCCAGTTGTATAGGTCACATGAACAGCAATATCTAGTTCAGTCTTATCCATTTCAGTGATACAGGAGAATGTGATGAAGCCAATTTCTTGCTGATTAGTTCTTATATGGTACTCGCTTTTCCAATTTTGATCAAGATAATTAAGTAACTGCAATTCCAGCATGGTTTGATCCAATACTGCATTATGAATCTGAGTTGAACATCCATCCTCTAGAGTGTCCCATTTGTTACCATTTCCCTTGGAAAAAAAAATTTTTTTTATATTCACATGGGACAAGATATACAGTTGTAACATCATCTTGGTTTAACTTTATGCGCCTTTTAAAAATGTTTATTATTTTAGATGTACAGAATAGACAAAATTTTAAAAAGCATGTACGTATGTCACTTAATTACTAAGTTTTGTGCCATAAACAATCCTTTAATCTTATTACTGTACCCTCTCTGTCCTCTCTTCCCTCAATTCTCTCCATATTGTTTTCTTTGACTTGATTATATAATTTTTTTGGGGGCAGGGAATGTCTCTTATTTGTTTATGAAATCCTTAGCACATTTTTAGTCACTCAACAGTAATAAATGATAATTTAATAAATTAATAAATGATTATGAAAAACTTATTAAACAGTATTTTGAGATTTAGCATCTTTTACTGAAATCACTGGAAAAAAACTCTAGTAGTCATCACTCAATTACACATTTTTTAAATTATAGTGAACTTCATTTTGGATTAACTTTTATTTGTATTCATATGAAAATCCCATACGTTTGATATGAAATTAAAAAATAATCATCACTGATTGACCTCATATATATATCAAGCAACTCTAGAAATACAGTAGATACTTGACCACAATTGTTAAAATCCTTTGGTGATGACATAAAATTGCCCCTTACTACCAGCCAACTTCTGTCTTCAAGGTATTAGTTGAACCACTGGACAGTAATTCAAGGAAGACCAGCAAC